ACACGTGTCATTCATTTGTTCTGTTTAATGTGTCTTGATTCTTTTTTAGATTTATAAAAATCAAGGTGTGGTGACCTCCAATGACCAAAGCACCAGTAACGTCTATGAAGAAGTAGATGTAGAAGTACACTACGAAAACTTGACCGCAAGTGAATAAATCTACTGCAATGAAAATTTCCATAAACCCAACAGAAGATACAGGTCAGCCCATAAATATTTGGACAGATACAACTATTTTCTCATTTTGGTTCTTCAAATGAAACAACTCAGATGCAGCTGAAGGGACTCAAAAGTAATTGGACAAATTAAATAGGTGAAAATAAAATGTTAATTTCTAATACATGATTGAAACCCTTTGCTGGCAATTACAGCCCCAAGTCTTGAACTCATGGACATCACCAGTTACTATGTTTCCTTCTTTTAAATCTTCAACAAATGAAATGCACGCCCACTTGGGTTAACATCAGGTCACCCACTTGGCCATTCAAAAATATTCCACATCTTTGGTTTAATAAACTCCTGGGTTGCTTTGTCTGTATGTTTTGGGTCATTGTCCATCTGTACAAGTCCATCTGCCCAATCAATTTGACTGCATTTGGCCTGATTTGAGCAGACAGTAAGTCTGAACACCTCAGAATTCCATTGGCTGCTTCTGTCCTGTGTCACATCATTAATAAACACTAGTGTTCCAGTGCCACTGGCAGTCATGCACACCCAAGCACACTGCCTCTGCCGTGTTTTACAGAAGATGTGGAATGCTTTGGATCATAAGCCATTCCACGCCAGCGTAGACTTGGATATCGATACACCTACGTCCTGGAGAGTGCTGTCACTTGGTTGGCTTTTTTGAAGGGGTTTCTCTTCACCATGAAATGATTCTGCGATCATCTACCAAAGTTGTCTTCCATGAACATCCAAGTCTTCTTGCGTTGCTGAGTTTACCAGTGCTTGCTTTCTTTCTTTCTTTCTTTCTTTCTTTCTTTCTTTCTTTCTTCCTTCCTTTCTTTCTTTCTTTCTTTCTTTCTTTCTTTCTTTCTTTCTTTCTTTCTTTCTTTCTTTCTTTCTTTCTCAGGATGTACCAAACTGTAGATATTATCATTTCAAACATTGAAGCAATTTCTCAGATGGGTTTTTCTGTTTTCTCA